TCAGGCTTAGTATCTAAAGCCCACCCTTCCATGTTCTGTCCACCAACTAGGTAGTTTGGGTTAAGATTAAATATAAGTAAAATGTCCTTCATTTCTCAAATCTATATAGTGGGCATCATGTCAGCCACTGCTTAAATGCACACACACAATAGCTTACTTCTCTTTACATCTTCTATCAATCAAGTGGACAAAAAAAATTATTAAGCAAGTACCATTTACCCAACAGTGTGCTGGATCCTTTGGGTGATTGATGAGAAGACCCCTTCCTTCAAATAGAATAACTGATTGTGATTCAACATAGAAAAATAAGCCAAATCATAATACTTTATGGTTGAAGTGGAAGTGGGACCCCCAGGGTCCTTATTCTCTCTTCAAATCCAACCTCACCTGACTCTACCAGAGTATCCCTTGATACACCTCCCTGGAACTCCCAGGGCTCCTCAGAACCTTATTTCAAAGCCACTAATCAAATCCATCCTCTCCATTTCAGAGATGAAGAAACAAATGTCTAGTACAAGAGCATACAGTTATGGTCCTCTGCGTCTTCTAAATATACAGACTTACACATGAAGCAATTTGAAATCCAGACACTTGTATATGCAAGCGCTTTCTAGAGACTGGCACTATACCATATTTCTGTCAACTCCACATCAGCTATCACACTGCTTTGGCCATAAGCAGGGTTCAACAATTACATCTGGAGTGTGACAAAAATGGATTCAAATAGGTGGTAAGTCCAGGGTACTGACTGTAATTTCAGTAGCCTAAGAGAAAGAAAGACATTACCATAGGTGGGGGGTTTTCATTCATTCAGTAAACATTTATTAAGAGTCTGTAGGTGTCAGGAACTGAGAAGGAAATGGGTGTTAAGAAAGGCTTTATTTAACAATAATAGCTACTATTATTATTCTTTTTGGTGCCTACTATGTTCCAGCAACTGTGCTAGGCACCTTATACGCTATCTAATTTAATCCTCATCACGACCTCATGAAATTAGCTTCATTTTTAAAGATGAAAAATTTGAGGCTGAGAAAAGTAAAGTGATTTGCCCAAGATCACAAAGCCAGGAAGTGGAGAATCCAGCATGCTGAGCCTAATAACCTGTCTATAGTGCCAAGAAACTTTCCTCATATGATAGATTTCAAGCCACAGAAAACAAGCCAATGGCTTGTCCTGGCTCAGTCACCAATTTTCAGGATGAAATAGGGTACATTATGGAACCTCTTGGAACCTTGAAAATTCTACCTGAGAAGTAGGACTCAGTGTAGCCCTGCACAGAGTTGTTGGATGACTCCATGAGATGGAAGCTGTGGAATGTTTGGTGCTCCAAGTGTAGAAAGTATCCAAATCATTCAAGATCTGATTTTATGTGGAAATTTCATAATGAAATCCTCCCAAGTGGCCACAGAATACCAGGAAAACCACAAGACACTTACTTCCTTAGGGTCTTACACACTCACTGGGGCCAGTCATACCTTACTGTTGAGCCAGGATTTCTGACTTCCCTAGGCCACAGCCTCTCCAAACAGAGTCCTGGACCAAGATAAAAATATTTAGCTGGCTAACTTCTGGTTAACAATGACTCTTTGCTGACTAACATGGAGGAAGGGTGGAGAGGAGAGGTTATAGGGCAATGGATCATCCATACCTGGGACAAACTTGGCAGGTTCATCTGTCACCTAGCTTCAGAGGTGACTTAGCCCCAACAGTCACTCAAAAAGCAGGGCAGTACAGCTTGGACCTGTAGGACTTAAGGATGAGCAGATCAAGTGAAGACAGTGGCTAATGGAGATGGATGGAAACCTGTTCACGTTTGTTGATAAGCTAAGAGAATGGTGAGAAGTAGACAGATCCAGAATATATTATATAGGTATAACCTGCCAGGTCTTACTAATACATTGGTTTTTACAAGTGTGGTCCCTAAACCAGGAGCAACAGCATTGCCTAGGAACTTACTAGAAATGCAAATTCTCAAGCCCCATCTGAGATCTACTGAATCAGAGACTCTGGTGATTAAACTCAGCAATCTATGTTTCGACAGCCCTCCAGCTGGAGCCTAATGTATGTTCAAGTTTGATAACCACTGTGCTACTGTTTTGGATACAGGGGTTCAGAGAGAGGGAGGAATGAAGAATGATTCCAGATCATGGGATGGAGGGAGATTTACTACTGATGGGGAAGACTAGGAAAGGAGAATGATTGGGAGTGAGGGTGGGGATGGAATTGAGAGTTCTGTTGGGGCCTGTTTGAGATGCCAGTGATACTTCCAGTGGGGTTGGTTAACTGGGAAGTTCGATATGTGAGTCTGGAACTCAGGGATATTCACCTTGATTCTAAGATCCTCGACAACAGGTCTAATTCATTTTAGTGGTCCTCACAGAATGTCCCAGCCCTGTCTATGGCCCAGAACAGGTGCTTGACAAATATCACCGAATGAAGAAAAAGGAGCCAGCTTTTTCTGCCTACTCTGGAGAGAACACTGCCTAAGTACCAAGTGTTCTTCCATTTAATGTTTACTCGCTCATCTGGAAAAACAACTACTGCCAGCAAAGCAGGTTTCTTAGAAGAGTTTGCCTTGAAGACTTTCTTATAGCTCACTACCAAATGTCAAGTCCTTTCCATTCTCTCTCCTGCGGTCAGCATCGTAGGCCTTGACTTGCTCATTCCTAAGTCCCAGAGGTCCCAGCTGTCCTGTGACTTGCTGTTGTGTAGCACTGGGGCTGAGTCAGTTCTCAAGCCAGGTGACAGAGGAACCTGCTGAAGCTGCCCCAGCAATGACTGAAGGAAGGAAGGAAGGAAGAAGACATGTCAATTCAAAACTTTATCATAAGGTAGAATAATTTGAGTGCTATAATAATTTTCTCTGTGGGAGCCCAAAGGGCTAGTGATTCATTTGGGCTGGGAAATTTGAGACGGTTTTGGACAAAAGGTGGTATTTGTTCTGGGTCTTCCTTGAAGAATGAGTAGGATTTACAGACTTGGAATGAGGGTAGGATATTCAATAACGAGGGATCAGTGTTGGCAAAGGCCTACAGGAGTGGAAGTATATGAAACAGTGAGGAACTTCTGTGTGGATAAAGGATCGGGTGAATGAAAAGTAGTAGCAGATAATATTGGAAAGGTGGGTCTGGGTCAGACTTATGGAAGAGAGGGGCATGAATACCATGGCAAAAATTACAGTCAAATGTCTTGTCCAATAGACATACAGTAAGAAATGACCTCCAGTGAGAAACGAATTTCACACTGTAACCCAATATACACATACACATATATAAAACTGAAACAAAAGTTTCTGCAAAGAATACCTATCATTTCTCAAGCAATGTATGCTGATATTTTCTATCTTATTTTGTTCTTTAAAAATTTTTTTTGCAAACGCTACCAGCAACTGACTAATGCATTTCATGATCTACTAATGTTTCACGACCTATTTTTGAAAAATACTGCTATAGGCAATGGGAAATCAGTGAATGTGTTCGAGGAATAACATAATAACACCAGTGCTTTAGGAAGGTAGTTCTCATAGTGGTGCGGGGGGCGTTCAAGATGGGAGGAGGGGCATGAAGACAGGAAATGGATACAACATTACAAATACCCAGGCCAGTCATGATGAAGGCCTAAAACGTGGCAGTGAGTGTGGAAGTGGAGAGTGGGGAAGGAATTTGAGCCAGATGTTGAGGGTAGAAATAGTAGGACTTGCTAAGTGATCAGAGGTGAGCTATAAAAAAGAAAGGGTAATCAATATTGACATTCAGGTTTCAATCTGAGGTAACTGTGCAGAGAATATGGCATTAAAGCAGAGGTTTAGTGAGAGGAGCTGGATTGGGGCAGGAAGAGAAAAAGTCTTAAGAGTTGGCCAACTTGAGCTGTGTCTGTGGTGGGATGTGGGATATATTGGGCTGAAGCTTGGAAGGAAGGTAGGGAGTAGAGACTGAGGATTTGGAGATAATATTCGATGCCATGGGAGTACAGAAAGTCACCCAGGAGAATGTGTAGAGAGAAAAAGAGAGGATCCAGGGCAGAAATTTAAGAGGGTCTACTTGACACCACAATATTTACTTCCAAAATGAGTTTTTCCTTTCTTAAGTGAGGAAAGCTCATTGTGTACGGATATGTGTGAATCGGGGTATGTGTATGTGCAGTGTGTATGGATGGCCTGTGCATGTTATAGAGACATTAGTATGCATTTGGGGAGCTGGTGAAGGGCTCTGGTTCATCTAGTGGTGGCTGCACTCACCTTCTCTGCCTCATGGCTTCTTTTCCTTTTCTTCCCTCTTTTCCATCTCACTTCTTTTATTCCATTCTTCTCTTCCCTTTTCCACATATCCACATGCTCCTTCATCAACATTTGAAAGCCCAAGGAATGGATGGACAAAATAGACTAGTGTGGGATTTGGGGGGCTTAAGTCTAGAGCATGGTGTTGGAGTGTGGTTGGGATTGGGAGGAAAGACAGGGCTCAGCATGTAGTCAGAATCAAAAGTCAGGAATGGTCTGTGATGGGAGAATTCATTCCTGAGACATTTACCACTTCAAATTCTGCCATTGGTACGCATGAGCACTGACTATGAATGTGCATATTTTTGGGCCTGTGCCTAGGGGGTGTGTCTGGCTTTCAGCTTGACTTAATCAGGTCTTTAGGTGATATTGCCATCATCACCGCTACTTCAGCCCAGAAGCAACGTTTTGTTTTTGTTTTTTAGCAGAAATAGGCTCTCTGCTCATACCTTTAAGAGATTTAGGATTAAAACAGTTGAAGAAGTGTGAATAATGGCTAAGCAGACTACCCACATTTGCTGAAATGCATATGCCATGCGAATTGAAAGATATATTCTCTCTTCCTTTCCTAGCTGTGTGACCATAGATAGGTTACCTAACCTCTCTGAGCCTTAGTATGCTTATCTGTAAAATTGGGATAATAATTCCTACCACAGATTTCCATTAGGAAGATTACTGTATTAAATGAGCCAAGAGTTTTGAAATTAGTGGGTGTTCAACAAACCTTAGTTCCTTTATCCAGTTCCTTCTGCCCTTTCGTTTGCTCCTTCCTTCTTTCCACCTCCCACACGTTTACCTGTCCATTTGTGAACATCAAGTGTGTATTTGTTATACTTTCTCCATTTTAAATTCTTAAATCAAGTGATGTAAGCTTTCTATATTATTCTAAAATTGTCAAAAACAGGCTAATTTAAATCACTTTTGGTGCATACACATCTAGATTTGTTATGTGTTCTTGATGGATTGATCCCTTCTCATATTGTAATGTTCCACTCTGACCCTGGGAATTTTCTTTTGCTATGAAATCTGCTTTATCTGATATTAATATAGCCACCCCTGCTTTCTTTCGATTGATATTTGCCTGGTATCCTTTTCCATCCTTTTACTCTCAACCTACCTATATCATTATATTTGAAATGCATTTCTAGTAGACAGAATATAGTTAGGCCATGTTTTTTAAATCCACTCTGTCTTTTAATTGGTGTATTTAGACCATTTATATTCAACATAATTATTGATATGTTAAGGCTAAGTCTGCCGTATTATTTTTTGTTATCTGTTTGTTCTCTCTGTTTTCAGTTTTTCTGTTTTCTTTGTCCTGCCTTCCTGTAGGTGACTTCAACTTTTTTTTGAATTCCATCTTGATTTATCTATAATGTTTTTGAGTGCATCTCTTTGTATAGCTTTTCTAGTGTTTGTTGTCACTATTACATTATAAATATACATAGATAGGCAGATATATAATTTATCAGTCTTCTGATGTCATCATTTTACCAGTTCATATACCTCCCTTTTACACCCCTTTACAGTCCCGTTTATAACAAATGTCTTAAATATTTTCTCTACATATATTCAGAATCACGAGATAGTGTGATAAATTTTGACCCAATCATCAAACATACTTCAGACAACTCAAGAGGAAAATAACTTCTGCTGTGTTTACCCATGTTTTTGCTTACTGTGTTCTTTCTTCCAAAGTTTTCTTTTGTTGTTTCTTTTCTGTTTCAAGAACTGACTTTAGTCATTCTTATAAGGTAGACCTCCTTCTGATAAATTCCCTGTTTTCTTTCACCTGAGAATGTCTTGATTATCCCTTTATTCCTGAAGGACATTATCACTGAACATGGGATTTGGGGTTGACAATTCTTTTCCTTCAGCACTTGAAAAATGTTGTGCCACTTCCCAGTAGGACCTCGTCAGTTTCTGATGAGAAATCTACTGTCATTCTAAATTCTTTTCCCCTGCAGGTATAGGTAAGGTGTTGTTTCTCGCTGGCTTTCTAGATCTTTTCTTTGCCTTTTGTTTTCAGAAGGTTGACTATGATGTGTCTTGGTGTGATTTGCGAGGTGGTTATCCTGATGGAGTTTGCTTAGCTTCTCAAGTCTGGAGGGTTATGCCCTTTGCTCAGTTTGGGAAGTTTTTAGCCACTATTTCTTCAAGTGCTTTCCAGTCCTGCCCTCTTTCTCCTCTCTGAAATTCTGTTGACATGAATGTTAGATCTTTTGTTATAGTCCCACAGGTCCAGAGGCTCTGCTCAATTCTTTCTGTTTTCTTCTTTTGAATCTAATTTCTCTCTGTTGTTCAGATTGGGTGATTTCTATTGTTCTGTATTTAAGTTGTCTGATTCTTTCCTCTGTCTTCTCCATCTCGCAGTTGAGCTCATCCACTGAGTTTTTAGAGTATTTTTGGCTAGTGCATTTTTCAGTTCTCAAATTTCCATTTGGTTCTTTTTTATGTTTTATATTTCTTTGTTGAGACTTTCTATTTATATGCAGAGATTTTCTAATTTACTATTTGTTTCAAGTGTGTTGTAATTGCTCCTTGAAACATTTTTACGATGGCTGCAAAAGTCCTTGTCAGATAATTCTATCTGTGTCATCTCAATGCTGGCATGTTTACTTTTTCTACTCATTTAAGTTGATAATCTTGTATGGCAAGTAAATTTTTCAATTAAATGTGGACACTCTGGATCTCTTTTAAATCTTTTGTTTTTGTAGACCTTTCTGACATCCTCCTTTTGCAAGGAAGGGGGGCAGTAGAAGTCCAGGTTTTCCACTGGGTCTCTGCTTGACATCCAGGTTGGGGAGGGGCTCCTCGTTACTGCTGGTTGAGCTTGGGAGTTCAGCCCTGTCTCCAGGTCTCTGATGATCCCATCTAAACTAGTAGTGGTAGGAATGCCTGGATTACCACCGTTGAGGGTAGAAGTGATGGCCTCCCATGTGTTCTCCACTGGGCGTGGTCACTTTTTCTTCCTCCCAACTGTTCCTTCTCCTGGAGTTGGGCAGAGGTCCCATTAAAGTCCAGTAAGAGTAGAAGTCTAGGCTCTCCACTTGCTGGCCTAAGCTTCTTATTAGATGCGTTGTTATTATGACAGCTGGCCTTTTCCTACACCAAGATATCCTACTTCCTATCTTTTAACGCCTTTGCAGAAAAAAATCGCAACCTACTCGCCCCCCTCCACACTTTCCCAGACCCTCTGTGGGATAGGGCGAGAAGACCAGAGCCTCTGCACGCAGATTGACTGGATTCCTGTCAAAATTTGGCATTTCCAAGCTGTTTGGCTCTAGAAAAGTTAGTTAAATTTTCTGAGCCTCCATTTTCCCAGCTGTAAAGGAGGTGTAGGAAGCTCTCAGGACTCTTGCTGAAATGAGGATAACAGGTCAAAGGGCTTGGCACAACAGGTGCTCAGTAATAATAGTTCCCTTCCTTTCACTTCCCCAAGTAAGTAGAGATGCAACCCCTTCAAAGGACTAAGAAGCCAAGGTGCTTCCTACCATCACCATCATGTATAAGTCTCACGGGAGGCATTCACTCCAAGGGTTAAATCTCTTGGTCAAAGTCTTATTTCTTAAAGGGACACGCTTGATATCTTCCCTTCTTGTTCTCCAGGTTCCTGGATAACACTAAAGGGAAACAGCTGGATCCTGGCCACCCTCAGAATGAGGGTGGAAGCCAGGGCAGGGAGGCCTGGTGCTGGCCCAGGCAGTCCACTTGCAAGGCGCTATTGTGTTCTAAGCGAGGACAACCGTCATCGCCTTGCCATAGCCGCTCCCAGAGCGAAGGGGTCAGGACGCAGGCAACTCCCACTTTGCTAGACCACCCTTCACCTCTGGCGGCTCAGAGCAACTGTTGTAATCCCACCACCGGGCGGGGTGTCTGCCTCCCCAGTCTCCATCGCTCCCATCCCCTTCCCAAGCACGGGGCTAGAAGAGGAAGAAAGTGGTGAGGGAGTGAAACCAAAAAATACATACGCGCGCTCTCCTTCCTCACAGACCCGGCCTGCCGGGATTCCTCCGCACCGCGCCCTGACTCCCCCGCCAGCCCGCAGTCCCTGGCAACCGCCAGCAGCCCGGACGCGCTAGACTCTGCTTTTAAAAGGCTTGCCTTAGCTCCAGGTCTGGAAGTTGAATGTGAGAATAAAAAAGAAAATCTCGACTCCTAAACAGCAAGGAGCGAAATACACCTTTGAGCCAACAAACACTTAAAAGAATAATAGATCTAAGAATGTCGTCCTCCAACTCCCACCTCAAGAAGAATAAAGCTATCTTGGGACCAACACCGCCGCCCCCGGTGTGTCTCCATCTGGCATTCTCAGCCACATCTGGCAAGAGGTCTCCCTTGGTCAGTCTCTCTGTTTTTCTGTCTCTCTCTACTAGTCTCAGTTCCGACTATCCCCAACATTCTTCCCATTCCTGATTCCCGTGTTGAATGGGCTCCTTTCCCACCCCCCTCCGCAAGTAGCCCAACAATAGATACTTTCCCTACGTAATTCAGTCCTCTCCGGCAGCAAGAGATTTTGGGGGCTTTGAGGGGGCCTCAGGGGGCGCTGCAACGTTCCACTTACCTGATCTCTTTAATGCTTTCCAATTTGCACATGATTTCTTGCTCATCTGCCATGCTTTTCACTCTCAATTTCACGTCCTAAGAAATGTACAAACACACAAGCCCCGGGATACAATAGACACAATGTAACCACCTCCTCCGGGCATGGAGCTCTGAGCCTGTGCGGTGTGGACTTGGAGAAGGCCTGGGAGCTGTAGTCCGCAGCTCTAGGGCCAGCCAGGCAGCCTTGGGGCCGGCAAGACTACAACTCCCAGAAGGCCAAGCAAGACATGTCTGTTTCTCTTCCCGCAGTCGTACTTTAAATCACTGTCACAGATAATTATGTCAAAGGTTGTGAGGAATACAATGCCTGGCTTGTGCTTGGAAAAAATGGGGAAAAATACCTCAGAAGGCAACTGAAGAGATGAGAGACAGACTCATTCACACCCCTCCGGGGACCCTCACTCCTACCCATCCCCAAAAGGTTACCAGGAGTCGCTAATTACTTGACACTTTGGGGCAGGAGAGAAACCCTGCACGGGAATTTGCTTCTGAGATAATGAGTGTTCTGGCTGCTGCCAGGGAATTAGTGGCGCTGGCATTCAGATGGAAATGAGGCGGCAGTGGAGAAGAGGAGGAAGGAAGGAGGGAGCAGAAGCTAAAGCTGGGGGATGTTGAGGGGGGATGACCTCCTTCCTTCCAGCCCCCCATCCATTCTACAAACAGTTACTGAGCTCAAACTTTGCCAGTCAATGAAGGAGGTACTTGGGGAGCCACTGGGGGAGGCAAAGATAAATAAAAGCAAGTCCTTGCCTTTGAGGAGCAGGAAAGACTAAAAGATAACCCATTAATTACAGTGCAGTGTGCTGTCATAATACAGGAATGGATAGATAAAGTGTAACCTGAGCAGAGAAGATGTAAACAGGTCTCAAAAGGTGACTGAGAATTTGCCAGACCATTGAGGAGGATGGACTTTACAGGAGAGGGTACAACACATATAGAAAGGAAAGGACAAGTGGGCCAAGCTGTCTGGAGCATAAGGTTCATATATGAGGTGTGGAGGTAGGAAAGAGAAGTGGGAGATGTATCTAGAAAAGGTAGGTTGGAGCCAGATTGTGAAAGACCTTGAATGTCATACTAAAGAGTTTGGGCTTAATCGTATAGGTACACATTCATCCAAATACACATTAAAGTGTTTACTCTGTGCCAAATAATGCCAAGTTATTTTATGTTTCAAAGCACAGACGTGATTAATTTGGATGGATGTCTTAGGGAGGTGACTCCAGACAAAGTAGAGAATGATTTAGAGGAGATGAGAGCATGTAAGAGGTAGTTACTCAGAGAGCATGGACAGGACCAGAGAGCTGGGCTTTGGACAAAAGGAGGACTTTGAGTCACTCCCACGTAAAGGTGAGTTGGAGCTATCTCTGACTGAGCTTACCATTTCTTTTACTGGGCCTCAGTTTCCTCATCTGAAAAATGGACTCAGTTAACCTCACCTCAAAGGCTTGTTGTGAGTACTCAATAAGATTATCCCCATATGGTGCTGAACACAAGGCTTGATATTTTTTAGGAGCTGGAGAAAAGTTAGTGGAACATGAATCTCAGGATACTCTGGGTGTCCACACTGATTTGAAGAGTTCTCCAGGGAAGGAATTGAATCCGTTCTCTTCTTTGGATCCCAGACATAATAACTTCTACAAACAGGAAATTCTCCTTGGTGTCTAACCTAACAATTTCCTGATGGTCTTGAAAATCCCTATCTTATGGTGCCACTAATAGGCATGTGAAGACCATTGAGTTGGTTGGGCACAAAGACTGTGGGTCTGAGCTACCCTACCAAAGAGTCAAGAGCCAAGAACTGTCCCTAGCCCTGTCCTATAAGAGGAAGGGAAATAAAACAAGTCCATGTAAGGCATGGCATGTATCAGATACTGTGCTGAGAGCTATATGTACAGTCTCTCATCTCATTCTCACAACCACTGTGAAGGGGGTAAGTAGATTCATTCCCTTTTACAAGGAAGAAAACTGACTCAGATAGGGAAAGTGGCTTGTCCAAAGCCATACAGTAAATTACAAAACTAGAGCCTGACCTCTGGTTAGACCAAGTTACTTGCAGATTAAGGAAGGGAATATCTATGAAAAAAATATGGAGACCAGAAGTAAGATGGGATCTTAGATGTAGATATTTCAAAGATAAATTACTTTATAATATGAGTTAACTCTGGTTTGAGGAGAAATGGAGGGTGTGTAAGGGGATGTGTGGGAAGCAATTTAGGAATGGCCTTTGAGGTTTTAAAACTAATGTCCCTTCCACCATCCACTTCCTCTTAAAATCTTTACCTCTCACTATATTCACATGCCTGGTAAGGGTCTAGATGTGGTTTTGCATCTGTTTAAATTAAATATGTTAATAGCTTTACAGTGTGATTTTCAAAATAATTCGGCAAATACCTTTCTTTCAAGCCTCTCCAAAACCTTATTCCACAAATGAGGAAACAGGCCAAGAGAGGCAAAAGACTAATCCAAGATTACACAGAAACAGGACTCCTGACTCAGGGCCTTGTGCTCTTCCCATGGCCTCACGTGACCGGCATCAAACTGCTGCTGCCCTCATGGAATCCAAATGCTTCTGTTACTTCAGCCAGATGGTACACTCCAATACGGGGAGTCTGCAGAGGGTCAAGTATGTCACATGCACCCAATCCATGGACATTAAAGGGAGATGACAGTTAATCTAGAGAAGGGGCGTTGGGACACCTGGAGCTTGGAAGAAGGTTTATGCTATTTGTAACAATTAAGGTGTTCAATAAAGAAAAAGGTCCATAAGATTCTTAGCTTCCATTCGTTTTCTTGGCTTCTTGACCTCTTTAATAACAGGTGTTTCACCTGATCCTTGCTGAGTTGTAAGAAACCAGGATAGCAATGAGAGGAAGGTAAATACTACAGATAAAGAGAAGAGAGTAGAAGGAAACCATAGCCTTCTGCCCCTTCTCCTGAATCAGTACTTAAAACAATACCTTTAAGCCAAGCTCGTAGCCTTCTTACAGTAAGTGTTCAAAAACTCTCAATTGATCAGAAGTCTGTAATCGATGAGAAAATATTTAGAAGTTGTGCTAGCAATGAGTTCTAATGCATTATTTTATTAGAAAAACTGACTTATTTGAAGTGGTGAGAATAAAAAAATCTTACTCTTATTAGGATAAACATTGTCCTTACAGGTAAGGAGGGCAGGGTATGTTGGGGTGAATACCATTAAAATTCAAGGAATTAGCAAAGGGAAAGCCAGCCAGTTGCTTGTTGACACGATACTTTCGGAGAATAGATCAAGATTTAAAGAGTGGAGGCCAGAATGTTTGAATTCATATATCTTTCCCTGTGCTTCAATAATGAACTGAACTAAGAGAAGAGGCAGAGATGAAACAACAGCTTTCAATCTAAATTGCCTTTCAAAAGGTGCTACAAAATACTCACTAAATTTCTCAAGTCATGTCTCTTAATTGGCATTGCTAAGAGAAAAACGAGCCAAAGTTTTTGGGTCATCCCAGCCAAGAAATATTTGTTGTGTACCTATTATGTCAGGCACTACAATAGGCAAAAGAGATCCCATAGTAAATATGACAGACATAGGCCCTGCCCTCACCAAGCCTGCAGTTTAGTTGGAGAGACCAGTTATTACAAAGATCACACACATAAATATTTAGCTATATCCAACAATTAGGGATTGGAAGAAGTCTAGGTTCTGTGAGCAAGCCTAACAGGAGAACCAACTTAGTCCTGGGCAGTGGGCAAGGGAACAGTCAGGGACAACTTTCCTGAGCAAAGAGTCCTGAGGGGAAACTAGGTAGGAAAGGAGGGAAGGAGCAAGAGGTATCAAGGATTCATTCATTCAGTCAGCCATCAAATATTTCTTGGGTACCTACTACATGCCAGACACTCTTCTAGGTACTGGGGCTATAATGCTTTGCATGTATTAAGTCAATTGAATCCTTGCAATGACCCTATAAAGTATTACTATTATTATTCCCATTTTACAGAAGAGGAAGCTGAGGCACAGAGAAGTTCAGTAACTTTCACAGAGTCACTCAGTTAATAAATGGCAGAACTGGGATTTAAATTCAGACAGTCTGGCTCTGGAAGCCATGCTCTTAAACACTATGTTCTGTTGTTTCCCTAAGATTCTTGTCCTCATGAAGTTTACATTCTAGTGGGAGAAGCCAGATAATAATCACAGAAAAGAAAAAACAAAGAAATACACCAATTTTAGGTGGAGATAAGGCCAATAAATATACTAAAAGAGGATAATGGAATAGAGTAGTGGCAGAAGGGAGAATGTTTTAGGTAGGATGGTCAGGGAAGGATTTTCTTCAGAGATGACATTGGAGTAGAGATCTGAGAAGGAGTCAGCCATGCAATGATCTGGAGAAAGAGTATTCTAGGCAGAGGGAATAGACAGTGCAATGATCCTGAGGCAGGAACATGCTTGGCCTGTGAAAGAAAGTAGGTAGGGCTCTAGCTGAATGAGGGGAACAGTAGTAGATTAATGAGGTAGGCAGAGACAAACAGGATCTTGTAAACCATGATGAGGAGTTTGGATTTTATCCTAATAACAATAGGCAGTCATTGAGGGTTTTAAGTAGGGGAGTAACATGATCTAGTTTTAAAGATCGCTCTGACTGCTGACTGCTGTGAGGAGAATAGATTGCACTGGGGCAAGAATGGAAGCAGGTAACCAGCAAGGAGGCTATTGCAGTTATCTAGGAAATAGATGATGGTGGCTTGGATTGGAGTAGGAACAGTGGTTATGAAAAAAAATAGACTGAATGGAATCATATTATTGGATGCAGAACTGATATGATTAGCTCACAGATGTGATGAGGAGATACAAAGGGAAAGATAAGACATCTAAAATGACTCCTGGATTTCTGGCTTGGGCAATAGGGTAGTGCCATTCACTGAGACAGGAGAGACTGGAAGAGAACCATAGGATGTTAGGGTTGGAATGCCCCCCACATGTGGCACATGGAAAAACTAAATATCAGAAATGGTAACGGACCCTCCTGGAGTCAACCAGTGAGTTAGGGGCAGAGATAGGTAATCCCACTTTTACACTCTTCCAGAAACTTTCATGTTCTCTATCCCTTCAATTAATCTAGTCTAATAATTCTTATAATGTGT